CCCCAAAACCCCAAAACCCCAAAACCCCAAAACCCCTATGAAAAATTGTATTTTTGAAATATGAAAAATTAATAAAAATGGGCACTTGAAAAAGCTATTGCTGCACTGACTCTGAAGAGACAAAGACTGAGATGAAAATGGATCCGAATCAGCCTGTTCCTGGCCAAGGTGGTCGGAAAGACCAATATAGTACCAAAAACAGCTATAAAATGACCTCTAAAAAGGTTTATTCAGAAGAAGAGGTGAGCTATTTGACCAATAACACATAAAATTTCCTAATTTTTAACCTGAGTATCAATTCTGATCAAATTTTCCTTTTAATAACGTTGAAATATTGCCATTTGGTAGCCAAAAGCTAAAGAAAAATCTAGATGACTAACAAGTTGCTTAAAGAGAACATTCATTCAATTATAAAACTACAGGCGATTTGGAGAGGAAATACCGCAAGGAAGAAGTTTAAAATCATGAAATCTCAGCAAAGAGATGGTAGTAGGTACTTCAAGGCGGACGAAAGCAAGGAGACTCTCTCCAAGGTCAAATTTGATCCCAACCAGCCTCGAGAGAAACGTCCAAAGCACTATTACAAAACCGGTTCAACTTATGAAGGAGAGTGGAGAGGCGGTTTCCGAGACGGATTTGGGACCCAAATCTGGCCTGATGGGGCCAGCTATGAAGGAGATTGGCTTTACAACAGGTAAAATTCATTAAAAAATTCCTAAACCCAACTATAGAGCTCATGGACAAGGAAAATTCATCCATGTAGACGGAGATGTCTACGAAGGAGAATGGGCCAATGACAAAGCCAATGGAAAAGGAGTTTATAGGCACCAAAACGGAGCTACCTACGACGGTGACTGGAAAGAAGACCTCCAGCACGGCAAAGGAGTCGAAAAGTGGAATGACGGCAGCATCTACGATGGGGAGTACTTCAAAGGTAAAAAGCATGGTTTTGGCATTTACATCTGGAATGACCAAAGCAAGTTCATTGGGCAATGGATCGAAAACAAAATTTCAGGCATCGGAATTTACTCCTGGCTCGATGGCAGAATGTACAAAGGCGAATGGAAGGATAACAATATGGAAGGATATGGCGAATACATCTGGAAAGACGGCAGGAAGTATGAAGGACAATACCAGGAAGATAAATAAACACGGATATGGCATCTACTACTGGGCAGATGGGCGGAAATACGAAGGCTACTGGGCCCAAGGCAAACAGCATGGCTTAGGCAGATATATTATACCCCAAGAGAAGAAAGAGAGATACGGACTCTGGGAAGACGGTAAAAGAGTTGAGTGGTTTGAGGATGACAGGATAACCAGTATTAATAACCATCAGGAGGATTATAAAACTTATTTCCGAAAAGAGGACTCAGCTAACCATTGTGATGAATATGCTTCATTTCAAAAACCAAGTCGATTCCACAAGAAGGTTGACACGGTGCTGGAAAAGATCAATTCCCTTATGGACAAATTCAAGAAGGATATTAAAAATTATGGAATCATGAATGATGGAGATTTTATGGAATAACTTCCATGTTCCATTTATTCAATTAATACAAAATTTTATGGGGTTTTGGGGTTTTGGGGTTTTGGGGTTTTGGGG